TCCCCGCAGCCGTACCGCCTCGGCAGCCCCGCAGAGCCAGGCACCAGAGTCCGCGCTGGGCAAGGCGTTGTGGAAAACCGACCTCTGGGCTCCCGGATCAAATTAGAACACAGACCCGCTGGGGATAAACGTCAAAACAGCAGACCGCTGGGGACAGAAGGTTGTGGGGTTTTACAGGAAAATACAGGTCCTGGGTCCTTTCTATAGGAACCTGGTAAGTGCTGCCAGCCTTGTTCATTATGTCTTCAGGGTGGCCTCACGACCCGCGCTGGTATTGGACATCTCAACCTCATTACTAAGTATACATCGAGGTCGGCGAGATGTCAGCATTGATACCAAGTTTCTGGAACAAAGGATTCTACAGAAAAACAGGTGAAAGGGAGGGGGAGGCTTCAAGAATGAGGAAGAGAAAAGAAAGTGTTCAAAGTCAAGCCTTACTGAAGCATTAGTGTGTAGATCTTAATTTCCATCTGTTTTTACGTTTCTATAGCGGTTTCGAAAGGTCTTAGGAGTGCAGTGAATGTGGGAAAGCCTTCCCTGAAAGGTTTAACTTCTTTCAGCATCAGAAAGTCCACACTGCGGGGGAGGGGCGCTGCTGGGTGACTCTGTGGGTTAAGGGTTTGCCTTGGGCTCAGGTGCTGATCTGGCATGATCTCTGGGTCCTCCAATTGAGCCCACCTCAGGCTCCCTGCTGGGGGGGGGGGGGGAGGCCTGCTCTCCCTCCCCTTTTCCCTCTGCCCCTCCCCACCCAAGCTCTCCCCCTCTCTCAAATAAATAAATGAAATCTTTAAAAAGTAAAATAAAGGGGTGCCTGGGTGGCTCAGTTGGTTAAGCGACTGCCTTCAGCTCAGGTCATGATCCCGGAGTCCCGGGATCGAGTCCCACATCGAGTCCCACATCGGGCTCCCTGCTCGGCGGGGAGTCTGCTTCTCCCTCTAACCCTTCCCCCTCTTGCGCTCTCTCTCTCACTCTCTCTCAAATAAATAGAATCTTTAAAAAATAAATAAATAAAATAAAAAAGTAAAATAAAGTTCATACTGCAAAAAAGCCTTATGAACGCAACCAGTGTGGAGAATTCTTCCCTCACATCTCCATTTTCCTTCAACACCAGAGAATTCACATTGAGGCAAAGCCTTGTCAAGTGCAGCAAATGTGGGAAACTCTTTGGCCTAAGCTCCAGCCTTATTGTACAGAAGAGTTCACACTGGAGCAAGGCATTGTGAGTGCAGAGTATATGGGAAACTCTGCACTGCTGATTGTGACTTCATTCAACACAGAAGAGTTCACATGGGAGAAAGACCTCATGAGTGCAGGGAATGTGGGAAAGCCTTTAGAGTCCAATTTGCTCAGCACCAAAAAATTCACACCAGAGAAAGGCCTCACCAGTGCAACAAATATGAGCAAGCTTTCAGCTGAAGGTTTAACCTCACTCAGCACCAGAAAGTTCACCACCATACAAGAAGGCATCTTGTGTTGGGCAAATGCAGGAAAGTCTTCAGCCAATGTCTGCTCTGATTCAGTACTAGAAACTTCACAAAGCGGGGGCAGACATCTGGGTGGCTCAGGTGGTTGTGCTTCTGGCTCCTGGTTTCAGCTAGGATCATGATCTCGGGGTCCTAGGATGGAACCCCTTGATGGGCTCTGTGCTCAGCAGGGAGTCTGCTTGAGGATTTTTCCTCTTCTTCTGCCGCTCCCCCCACTCAGGCCACGCACACACTCTCTCTCTCAAATAAATAAATAAATAAATCTTAAAAAAAAAAAAACTTCACAAAGCAGATCAGCTTTAAGATAAGTGCAGTAAATCTGAGAAAGCCTTCAGCTGATTCATTTCCTGGGCACAGGAAAGTTCACATGAAGCAAAGTCATAGACATGCAGGGAACATGCTCTCTCCTTGTTCAATATAATGACACTGAAGGAGAACCTTTATAAGGGAGACATGTTCCTGAAGTTGAAACTCATACATCTGAATATACACAGTGGAGAAACCCGCCCCCCCCTCCCATAAGTTCCAGATATGTGGGAAGCTTCCAGCAGTTGTTCTGTACTTCCTAACTTGCTTGGGGCGCTTGCCAAAATTGTCACTGCCAGTTACTGTGGCACAAGTAATCTCAGCTCTACCACCTGCCAGGTCTCCATGGTGTGCATTAGTCACTCCCAACCTGTTCAGGAAAGTAGATATCTGTGCTCTCTCTAGAGAAAATAACAAGCAGCATGAGCCTTTATGGGGACCTGTTCCTTTTTCTCTAATTAGGGCACATCCCTGACCCAGTTGTATCCTAAAGGACCTTATCTCAGTTCTGCTGGTCACTTGCAGAGGAGATTCACCTTCATGGACATTTTTGTTCTTCAGTGATGCTCATGGTGGATTTTTCCAGCCTCCACGTCACCAACCTGTGTGACTCATGAACTGGCTGCCTTACCTTGCTTTGGTTTATGCAATAATAAAGGCCTCATTTTATTTAAACCAAAAATCAAACAAAACAAAACAACTCTAAAGGGGCATCCCAATTTCAGAGCTTCCTGTGGAGGGACATGGGTCTTTGCATCACAACCCAACTTCTCCCTCTGCCCATTCCTGCCTATTTCCCATCCCTGTCACATGTGTTGTTGCCAAGTGCACTCCCTAATAAACTTCGAATCTAATCTCTGTCTCAGAGCCTGCTTCCCAGGCAATGCAATCTGTAGCAATAACTTACCCCACTTTGCAATATTTTAGAAAGCAATAAATAAGACATTGTAAATAAAGGTGCCTAGGGACACAACTCCAGGGACACATTTATTGAAGGTTAGTCCTTTTGGCTCTTATCATGAAAAGTTTTCTATCACTTCTATCAAGGCTTTGTGCCCTACTAGCTTGTATACATTTTGTGTTATAGAGAACTATTCTTTTTTTTTTTTTTAAGATTTTATTTATTTGACAGAGAGAGAGACAGCCAGAGAGGGACCACAAGCAGGGGGAGTGGGAGAGGGAGAAGCAGGCTTCCCACGGAGCAGGGAGCCTGATGCGGGGCTCAATCCCAGGACCCTGAGATCATGACCTGAGCTGAAGGCAGACACTCAACAACTGAGCCACCCAGGCACCCCTGTAGGGAACTATTCTTGCCTTGCTGACATTGCGCTCCTTTTTTCTGTGCTCTGCATTAACTTGCAAAATTTGCTCTTTAAGAGTATTTTCACTCAGGTCAAGGCCAGCTTCATGGGTGCAAAACCTGCGTAGCTGCATGAGACCCAGTTCTTAAAAGGGTCCCACACTTGGTTTAGTGTTCTGCAGTTGTTGTCTTCGAAATTCTTCATCAATTTTGAACAAGGGCCTGGTGTTTTCATTTTGCACAAAGTATATAACTGGTTCTGCCCTTGGCCACTTGCCTCCTAAGACATGATATAGATCTTCTGGTCCTTGAAAGAACTTACCCTTGACATGTGGTCAAAGGCTTAATGACTTCATTGGTTAGATCTCTTTTGGCTCCAGGCATCTTTGCTTTACCTGTCCAGCTGAACACTCTCTGGTATAACTCACTTTCCTCACTTCTTGGCTTCTGACAAAGTTCTTCTAGGGAGATAATCAACCATTACCTTCCCCAAGCCCTGCTAGGCCCAAGCTGGTATCATTTACAGACCTATGCAGTAGGTTCTCAGTAAATGCTTATCATTGGTAGACTGACTTATTAGACTTCCATAAGAAATCATCTAAATACTCTACTGTTTAAAGCAGTAATTCTGTTCATTCATTCAGTCACTCCCCAGTTATACTTACTTGGCTTGGACATAATTTGATTCTCTGCCCTAATTTATTTTTTGTGACAGATTCTCAGTTACTATCTCTACTATGCTCATCCATCTACTCAGTGTTTCTGGATCACTTCTTGTAATTCTTTTTCATGTGCACCAGAGAACCTTCTGCAAATAGATGTTCATAGATGTTTGACAGTAGTGAATTGGTTTTGCTTTTGCTAATGTACAAAAGGAGGCTATGGTAGACTAGAAGGAACAGATTTTGAAGTCAAAGGGGTCTGAATTGGATCTTGCCATTATGAGCTGCACAAGGCTCCATTTCCTAATCTGTAAAAAGGTTAATTAGAAAGGCTTCCCTGTGTGATTGTTGTAAAGAATAAATGAGATAGTATATGCAAAAGAGACCCTTAATATTCATTTCCCCTTCTCAATCTTCTAAAAAAGCCAGGTTAGAGTCATTCATGCAGCACTGCTCTTGTAGATTTTTGTTCAGAACAAGATTCTGAACCATATATGCACAAAGGCATAACTGATCATGGTCTAAGGAAACACCAAAAGGGGTGACAAGTCATTCCTTCACCATTAAATACTATGTTTGGCTTAATACTCAAGATATCTAATGTCCATTTCCCCACTAAAATAAAATCAATAAAAGTATAATTCAATGCATTAACTTAATCAACAAACATTAATGATCAATGATTCAACATTTTCTCCTCATTGCTAAACCTATGAAGAGTGCTAGGTATGGAGTTTGAACAAAACAGGACAGACAGATCTCTACTGCCGTTTTACCAAGTTTTACCAAGTTACCTTCAGGGAATACAATATAGAAGAGATCCTTGCACCAATGGAATGCAACTATTCAATTAACAACAGGACATTAAAAATTGCTTATGTTAAATGCATAATGCTGAGATCTGCAGAATCACTGCCAAACCCCTATTTCTATTTTTTTAAATACATAGAAACGCTACAGTGAAATATACTACATGCAAAATATTAGAAAATCATCATGACCATTTTCCTCTGATATACCAACAAATATTTTGGAAGAAGGAAATAAAAAGACAAATTTTCTTTCAGATCAAATCAAAAAAATTTGGATAAGTATATACATTATTTTCAAAGATTCTTCAAACTAATTTTGCAAACATCCTGAATTTGGCTCCTAAATTCCCAACCATTCATTGGCTCTTGTATATCAGTATTCACAGGATCACATAATAAATATTGGAAGTCTGGATTCCAAATAAACACACTTGGATTTTTAAAAAGTGTTTAATGGATGTACTTTATTAAAATGGTGTTTTGAACACGGAGATACATGATTTTAGTCTGTTCACAATTACTCTAATACATACATTTAAAACAATGGTCAAAGCAGCAATTACATCAACTCACTAGGAACAAGTACAAAGTACACCCAAGTAGCACTTTGGTTAAATTGTAAAACAGTGTACACAGGAGCAATTCAGCAGAAATTAACTTAACTTGGGACACATTAAGCTGCTCAATTTTGTACTGGAATCCAATGGCAGATGAGTCATTCTTGGAGGGGGAAGAACTCTATGGTTTCACAGCCCAGAATACTTAATTGACCATCAGTGGACCATTTGAGCCGCCTAACAACCAGTGGGAGCTGCCCGAGTGCATGGGTCTCATTCCAGATACCAAAAGCAACAGGGAGGTCATCAGAATTTGGCTTGCAAAGACACAGCATTTTATTTCTGCTTAAGTCATCCAGGTAAGTGAACCTAGTAAGTACAATAAAAGGTAATCCAACCAAAATTTTATGTCACTTTCCATGGATAAGAGTATGTGAACAAATGAAGTGCTAAATACCAATCCAGGTTTGTATTTAACTGTTTGATGCTAAACTTTAACCACGCCTTGCCCCGCCTCGAAGCATTTTCTTACTATCATATTACCTTGAAACTAAATCCTTGTCCATTCTTAGAAACTAAATGTCCTGTCTGACATTGAGGAGTTAGCACAGACCCAACTCATTCTCTGCCAGGATTTTTAATTAAAAAAAAAAAAAAAATCAAATTCCTCTTTGAAAAAATAATTTTTATTCAGATTATGTACTAATAATTCTTCAAAGCAAGTAATTTCTTTTTAATTTTGGAACTTGAGAACAGTTCACATCATAGAGTACAGAGATTCAAAACTGTTTCCTTCAAAACAAACTAATTTTTTTTTTCAGAAGAAAAATGCATAAGACTTTGAAGCACTTAAACACAAAAATCTACAACAAATAAACAGTTGATGGAGAGCAGGACAGCATTACTTTTGAATATATTAGGTACTTAAGAACTTATACTTGTGAAAAATCACAATGATTTTTAAGAATATTTTGCCAAGTCAATGTTGGCAAATAGTTTGGCAACACATTTGATAAAGATGATTGATATACTACATATAAATGAAGGGCAAGTGTAAATTATAACAGATTTAGGTTTAATTACATTAATATATAATCTACACTATACCTACACCCACATGGTAACAGCCACATGGCAAATTCACAGTTATAGCTAAAAAACTATATTTAGAATAGTCCTTTTTTCCCTACTATTTGCATAATTCCTTGTAGGCTTAATATCTTTTGTGGATTACAATAACCTACAAATTATACTTCAACATTGTGGCTTAAAAAACAAACACCCATATGTTTTTATGCTTTAGTCAAAGTTGATTGATTTCGAGTTTTAAAAGCTTTTCAGATGAAGCAGAGCAAAGTCCACCCCATACTAAGGCCTAGACAACCCTACAGATTCCTCTTTGTTAAACCTGGCAATCTGCCTCAGTGCATCAGTGACTTTTGAGCTTGACAACATCACTCCCACCCTGTGAAGAATTCAGATCAAAAATGAAACCTACATTTTCAGAATGTCATTTTGTGCTTTAGAGTTTTCATTTGCTTGTTAGTTTGGAAATTCTCCATACTCCTAAATGAAGCTTCTATATTTAGGTTCTGGGACCTAAACGTATGTCAGAAAGAGCAAGAAAGCTTTCCAGCTTTCTTAGCCTACCTTTGGTTCCTCACTTCCCAGACAATGAACAGGAGACTATTTTCTTTCCTGTAATATTTTTTACTTTCACTAAGCTTCCTTGGGAAAAAAAATTGAAATATTTCTTTTTTTTTTTTTTTAAGATTTTATTTATTTATTTGACAGAGAGAGAGACACAGAGAGGGAACACAAGCAGGGGGAGTGGGAGACGGAGAAGCAGGCTCCCCGCTGAGCAGGGAGCCCAATACAGGGCTCGATCCCAGGAACCTGGGATCATGACCTGAGCCAAAGGCAGACTCTTAACGACTGAGCCACCCAGGTGCCCCGTGAAATTGAAATATTTCTTTGTCAACTTTTTTATCAAAGGAAAATTCCTGATTAATAAATACAGGAAAACTCAAGATTCATTTTCTTCCATTCCCCAAAAGATGAGAAGATGTGAATATTTATATCGGGCCATCTTCCTTCTAACAAACCTTTAAATGAAAACATAAAAACAGACAACAAGTCGACCATGAAAACTGAGAGTGGAAGGTATATTTTCTTCTTGGTTTCTTTTTTTGTTTGTTTTTACAACAAAACTCCACATCATTCTTAACACTCAGTATTTTCCTCACATCCTATTATTTTATTTGCAAATTACCATATAGCAATGTAGCTTCAACATGCTAGTCTGCTTCTGTGTGTTCCACATCAATTAGCCACCATAAAACATCTCCTACAGCCATTTTAAATTCACTTCCTCACCTGCCAATAACCGTTGGTTCTCTGCTATAAAACTGCCCTCTGTTTGTCAGGAGTCCTTGGGGATAAACATACCAGTAATTTAAAGCTAACTGGTGAAGGAGCTATGCAGGATTGTTCCCTTTAATTCTCTATTACTCCAAAATTTAGATTTGTACGTACACCCACACATGTAACAAATTTACATTGTCTGCCAAAATAAACTGCAGATATAATTCCAAACACGCATGTAGAGATGCACATTTTAACAGCAAACTTACATGCAGATATAAAGAAGTATAGTTTTACATTCCTAAGTTACACTAGCAAGCTGAAATACAGAATGCTTTAATGTTCTAGATTTATTGTTGTGAATCACAGAAATAAGCGAAAAGGAGACATAAACCTCACACTATGTCTGTAGCATTGTCAGTCAGTGTGGTATCATTTTTACTGACACATTATCCAACTTGCTGAATCTATACAAAAAGTGACATAAACATACTATATACAATACACAGAACACGAAGTTAGAGATAACCAATGGAACCTTCACACAGAATACTTGATACCGTCAGTATTTAAGTTTGTATAGCTTTGACCAAAAGACTCAGCCTGTGCATGCTTTTCTGATATAAAGGAGTAGTCTATGTATCTGTATAGCATTCTTAGCTACAGAAAAAAGAAGAATGGAGACCAAGGGACACAGCTGAAATACGAAAGTGCATCGTTGTCAACACGCACATACTTTAGCAATGTCATATTATCTGAATTAATGTCTTTTGCATTGTGAAGTTTACTAGTAAGTGGTCCAAAATACAAAATATAGTCACACGGAACTCCGTTTTCACACTTACTCCTCGGTAGAGCTATTAAAAACAAACACTTGCGGCGAACACATTGCAGAGCCGTCAAAATGCCTACTAGTGTTGAAGACCTTGAAGGCGAGAATCTGTTCAAACGAATAAAGAACAAAAATGATCAAAAGAAACTCATAGCTGCCTAAGAGTTTTAAAAATTAGAACTGTAACACTCAGCAAGTGTGTCAAAACCACTTTTCATTTGCTCACTCAACTTCGAGACTCACAATAACTGAATGACACACATATTTATGCTGAGTATGTACAGCTGAACATAAATATGACAGCTACTTATGAAAAACTACAATGTAGATGGTTAGGACATTTACACTGTGTACTAATCTAGTGAGTCACAGAGTCACCCCGACACAGCTGACGCGTTTGATCTACTAAGTTTCTTGACATACTCAGGGAAGAACTGTTTCACAGAAATTCAGAGTCCCAGCAAGCAGTCAGGCCCATCGTCCACTGGAGGCAAAGCTTCTGCTGAATGAGAAGTTGACTTCAGAGTTCTTGTACTTCCCCCAGGCACCAAAAGGCACCACTACCACAGTACTGTTATCTTCACTACCATACTGGATTGCCTGCGAGGTTTGGCAGGAGGAAGAAGAAAACACGGGACATGAGAGTCTGTACAAAGAAAAGTCACCATTCCTCTGGAAGGCTATAATCCCACGCAGAATAGCTACTAACCCAGTTACTTCGCATTCATTCAACATGTATCAAGGTCCACACAGTTTATTAGATCGTACACAGAATAACAGATGACCCCCCCAAAAAAACAACCATATTAACTATATTCCACTGTAGCAATTTTGGCAACAGAAAGACCAGTGGACTAAGATCAAGATATGCTCTGGAAGAAGAAAATAAAGCATTCAGCACAGGGACTAATACAAGGTAAAAATAACCTAAGGAAATGAAAGTGTATAAGATAGAACAACGATAAGGTTTATTATGTTCCCTACAAAATGGAAAAGTGGCATAAACTAAATTTCTACAGTAGGAGAACTGTAAATCAATTTTAAGAACTAATTCAAGGGCGCCTGGGTAGTTCAGTTGGTTAAGCGACTGCCTTCGGCTCAGGTCATGATCCTAGAGTCCCTGGATCGAGTCCCGCATCAGGCTCCCTGCTCGGCAGGGAGTCTGCTTCTACCTCTGCCCTCTTCCCTCTCGTGCTCTCTGTCTCTCATTCTCTCTCTCTCAAATAAATAAATAAAAATCTTAAAAAAAAAAAAAAGAACTAATTCAAATAGCAAATGACAGGGCGTCTGGGTGACTCAGTCGGTTAAGCGTCTGCCTTCAGCTCAGGTCATGATCCCAGGGTCCTGGGATCGAGTCCCACATCGGGCTCCCTGCTCAGCAGGGAGCCTGCTTCTCCCTCTGCCACTCCCCCTGCTTGTGCTCTCTGTCAATCTATCTGTCAAATAAATAAATAAAATCTTTTAAAAACACAAAACAATGGGGCGCCTGGGTGGCTCAGTTGGTTAAGCGACTGCCTTCGGCTCAGGTCATGATCCTGAAGTCCCTGGATCGAGTCCCGCATCGGGCTCCCTGCTCGGCGAGGAGCCTGCTTCTCCCTCTAACCCTCCCCCCTCTCATGTACTCTCTCTCTCTCTCATTCTCGCTCTCTCAAATAAATAAATAAATCTTAAAAAAAATAAAAAAATAAAAATAAATAAAAACACAAAACAAAACAAAAAACAAATACAAATAGCAAATGACACAGTCAGCATTATAAGAAGTGCTTGGGATTATATTCAACAGCAAATGTATTTCAAAAGAACTAATAGCCTGAGGCCAAAACTGTGAGGGAAAGGGTTGATAAAAATATCTAATATAAAAAGCATCAAAATATTGGTACACCTGGGTGGCTCAGTAGGTTAAAGATCTGCCTTCGGCTCAGGTCATGATCCCAGGGTCCTGAGATCGAGCCCCACATCGGGCTCCTTTGAAATATTTCTTTCTTTTTTTTTTTTTAAGATTTTATTTATTTATTTGACAGAGAGAGAGACACAGCGAGAGAGGGAACACAGAGCCCTCCTATATGTGTGTGTGTGTGTGTGTGTGTGTATGTTCCCTCTCTCGCTGTGTCTCCTATATATTTATTTGTCAGAGAGAGAGAGAGGGAACGGAGCAGCACACGGAAGCAGAGTCCCTACTGAGCTCACGGAACCAGCTCCCCCTGGTTGTGTTCCCTCTCTCTCTCTCTGACAAATAAATAAATAAAATCTTTTCAAAAAATTAAAAAAAATAAAATAAAAAGCATCAAAATATAAAAAAGTTTTACAAATTGAAAGACCAAAAAAAAGTTCGCAATATCAAGGTACTAATATACTTAACATATAGGAAGTTGTTACAATAACCATGAAAAAGACAAATATGCCTATAAAAAAATGGGAAAACGCTATACACAGACAAGAAATACAAGGATCTAACGAACCTGTGCAAATGGTTAGTTCCACCAACAAAGAAAAAAGATGCAAATTTAAAACACTAAAATTTGATTTTTCTACCTATCAAACTGGCAAAAAACTATTATAAGCATTTGGAGAAACAAATTTTTAAACATGCTAGAGAGAAGTATAGATTGGTATAGCATTTCTGGAGGGCAATTTGGCAAGCTTATTAAAAGTTTTAGAATAGGGCACCTGGGTGGCTCAGTCGGTTAAGTGTCTGCCTTCAGCTTAGGTCATGATCCCAGGGTCCTGGGATCGATTCCTGCATCGGGCTCCCTGCTCAACGCGGAGTCTGCTTCTCCCTCTACCCTTCCCGCCTGCTCATGATCTCTCTCTCTCTTCTTTCTAATACATAAATAAAATATTTTTTTAAAAAAGTTTTAGAATACAGTGTATCCTTTTACCTAGCAATTTTCTAAGAACTTTACCTGAGAAAATAATATATGAAGGAAATAGACATGCACAAGTAGATATAAGAACGTTTATACAGTGCTCTCCCTCCCTATAATATGGAAAAGTGAACATAAACTAAATTTGCTGATTAGGGGAACTAGTAAAAGAATTATGGTACACAAATACAGCAGAATACCATGCAGGTAAAATATCATTGCCTGTGTGAATGAGAACACATATATCTAAGACAGGGAGATGAAATGAGAAAAGAAGTGATCATCCACAGGATTGGGCCCATTTCTGTAATCTCATGAACCCACATAGTAACCAAGGGAATACTTCATGCTTGCCCATCTATTTTCAAACAAATAATGCTTTTTAAGTGAGGCCTTAAGTCTTAATTACAAATATTAGCACTTAAAAGTTTGGGCTAAATTTGCCTTCCCAGTTGCAAATGTAAAAATTGGGAAATGCAGAAGTAGCTGTTAAATTAAAGCATGACTCTAATGATCAGCGATGGCTATAACTTCAAAGAGCTATCTATTAGGTATCTTCAAATATATAGATAATATCTAATAGGATATTAAAGAGCACATGGAAATTTTACATTTTCTTTACTGGGTATTCCCCATTTTATCTCTGAGTGACATACTCATACATAACCTATCCATACATCTTTCTGAATTTCTGTTTGTTTTTTTCACATACCTTTTTTTTTTTTTTTAAGATTTTTATTTATTTATTTGACAGAGAGAGACAGCAAGAGATGGAACACAGGCAGGGGGAGTGGGGGAGGGAGAAACAGGCTTCCCGCCGAGCAGGGAGCCGGATGCGGGGCTTGATCCCAGGACCCTGGGATCATGACCTGAGCCGAAGGCAGACGCTTAACGACCGAGCCACCCAGGTGCCCCTCACACAACCCCTTCTTAAAAACCAGATGTGGACTATGCTATAGTGTTCCTATACTGGATATTTACTTGGAGCTGTCTAGTTTAATGGTCTAGTGGTTGAATCCGGGAGCTTGGCTGTCGGTCTGAAGCCCAGTTCTGCAACTTAAAAGTTTGTAATCTTGAATAAGTTACTTAACTTCTCAGCCTCTGTGCCTTGGTTTTCCTCATCTGTGGAAAGGGATAATACTAGCTGTAACCTCAGAAGGTTATTGTGATGATTACATGAGTTAAATATATGTGACTAGAAGAGTGTCTGGCACATAATAAGTGATAATACTATTAACTATTATTATAATTTCCAGTTGCTATTACTATCATATCAAGGTGTGTACAAATCCAAAAAATAAACATAGCACATTCCCTGGCACACAGGTTTTACTTAACTACTTGGGAGAATTGTAAACATTTTGGAAATTGGGAATATTATGGAGTCAAGTGTAAAATTCCTTGTAATACTAAAGGCTCAAACACAGGATTTCAAAGAAATCTCAAGCCCGTAGTAGCCCCTCCGGGCTGTACCAAGACCGGCACCTGGGTGTTCTTCTCTCCACCCCTCCCACCCCACACCACCCAAATCAGGACTTTTCTAGCAGAAGCTCTGCTCTGTCACCTGCTCAATCACTGCATGGGCTGCTTCATTGGGATCATGGCACTGATTGACAAAGTCACAGATCTCTTGACTATTCACCATGAAGTTAATTCCATCTGTAGTGAGGACCAGGAAGCTGTCATTGCCATGATGTAGCTGCAATCAGAACCAAATACACAGACTCAGCCTCTGAATAGTTTTAAAAATTCAAAGATTTTATCGGTTTGCTGAGTGGTCGTCTGTGTTTAAAAGCTTAACGGTGAAAATGGAAGACCTAGATTTTGGGCAAAATTAGCAACATTTAGCATCAAGCACCAAGGACAAACCCCACATGTCCTTAGTAACACCACAAAGGAAGAAGCTAGACAGCCAAATGATGAGAGGCAAGCACGCTGTAATGGTAGAGAGCACAGTCTCTGAAGCCAGGCTTCCTGGGTTTGAAATCTGCCTCTACATTTTGGCTAGGCAAACATAGGGGAGTTCACCTATGCTCTAGATTTATTTTCTCTGTAAAATGGGGTGGTAGTAGCTATTCTGGACAGAGCCTGGCCCATAGGAAACCCTATGTAAGTATCTGTTAGACACAATGAATATAAGCGGGGTAGCTAGAAGACCGGAAATCATTCAATGAGCAATCTCCTGCTGCCATCGTTGGGAGCCTCTATTACCTAGTACTAGGTACCAGCACTTGCAGAGAGGTAAGTGTCAGCTCACAACTGGGTGTGTGTTGAGGGAAGTGTAGTATAATTGGGGCACTGATTGGTAGCATGCAAAAGATGTCAGAGAGAGGGAGGAGGGCGATCATTTAGCTTGGTGCAAAAGGGAGGTAAAGGTCTGATTCCGAGTGGTGGTGACACTGGGTGACCAGGTGTCGGGGAGGAAGGGCACTAGAGCCATCTTACCAGGTGAATTCCAGCAAGCAAGGTAAAGCAAAAACCAGGCACTTCATCCTACAGTAAGCCAGTATTTTATTTTATCTGAAAAGTTCATCTATCCTTCCATAAACTTTAAAAGGCATGTTAGCTTCAATTAAGGCTTCTAAGAAAGCCTATAGCTGGAAACAATCCTGCTTTCATTCCTTGCATGTGTATCAGCTGTTGCAGATTGTTACCTTAACCCTCTTTGTTTCTGGTTCTGCTATCACACCACTGGTTTTAAGATCCAAATCTCCAAGACTCCTTGTCATTGCAAGTCTGCCATTCACGTGAGGCTGTCCCAAACTATTCCAAGCCACAAAACCACCACATTTCTTGATCCTGGTCCAAGAAAAAAAGACTATGACATGATACCCAGGAAATGAAGGCACGGTTAAACTTAAGATGAAATCAGTTTAAAATGCAAGGTTTCGGAGTGCCTGGGTGGCTCAGTCGGTTAAGCTTCTGCCTTCGGCTCAGGTCACGATCTCGGAGTCCTGGGATCGAGCCCCGAGTCGGGCTCCCTGTTTCTCCCTCTTCCTCTGCCCCTCCCCACTTCCGAAGCACGCACTCTCTCTCTCTCTCTCACTCAAAAAAATAAATAAAATCTTTAAAAATAAATAAATAAAAATAAAATGCAAGGTTTCATTTATATCTTGAACTATATAAACAGCATCCTCATAGAATGATCAGTGGAGGTGGTACCTTTCTTTTTCATCTTTTCTTTCTGGAGTATGGTCAATGGTCAGCTTCATGGGTTTTCCTTTTCTACACAAAATAGCCCGGCTATCCCCAACACTGGCTACAACCAGTTCAATACCATCTCTCACGAGGGCTACTGTGGCTGTAGTCCCAGAGGTCAGAAGGGTTGCTGCAAACATTATGAAAAAGAGTGTAAGTCAGTGACAAACAATTGGATATGGAATTTTTATTACAAAATAAAACACAGGCATGTTAAACTATGCTGAAATGTACCATTCTAATCTAACTAGAGCTATGCAAATAAAATGCAAATGAACTATGTAAGTAAGAGCATGCAGAGAAAGAGGTATTTAATTCAGTAACAAGGCTCCATGCAAATAGAAAAAGTTGCTAACCTAATTTGGTAAAAAGTGCATCACTGTCTCCACATGGCCTCTATTCATATGAACTAGAGCTGACTTGAACTGATATTTATGACACCCTTGTGTGTATATCAGGTGTCAGTATTAAAAGTATTACATTTTAATTAGATTAGCTAAAATGGCAGGTTGACCTTCAGGTCTACTGAGTTCATTCAGGCAAGCTGACTCTTCTAAAATTTCTATGCACTCAGAAGGCTTTCTCTTCCATTTCTTCATTCCTATCCTATGACAGTATTATCAGTTAATAAGCTAAGCAAGAATGCCAAGGGCGTATCAGTTGCTCTTCAAGTGCTATATTTTATATTCTTTCCTTCTACAATTGTTTTATTTTTACAAATGTTCACCCAAAAAATCCTCAAATGGTTAAAGGTTCACATTCTTTTCTATTTATCTTTGTCCTCCCCAGACATGAAACAAAGTTACAGTCATCGTTATATTAGGAAAATATGGGGGATGGAGAATGAAGTTCATTCTAGTTTCCCAAACGCTTAATGCAGTTCACATTTAATTTTCTCTGACCAATAACACAATTAAATGTCACTTGGCTTGAGGTTGCCACTGTTCCCTTCATCCAATCCAAACTGAATTTTTGCATCTTTCTTTCATTTACTCAAACCGCATCTATCCTAAGTTCTTTACTATTTGTTAAAAATTTTGAAGGTGCATTGAGCCTTGCCAAAAGTGAGAATACTATGAAATTAAGGGCTAAAAAGTAAAGCAAATTGGAAGAAACTGAAAAAGATAACTTATTTAAAGCAGGTATTGTCTTCAGTAACATGGTTCATTCTTTAAAGCATCTAAATAAAATATTCAGGTGATCATCCAAAGATGATTTCTTCTTTAAAGGTAGATTTAGGAAAAATGAAGTGCTACTGATTTGACTGATTGAGGCTCAATCTTTCCAATTTTTTTCCCCAAAAAGACAATTTAAAAAATTTCATCAGTAATACATTTTGGATGGATATATATATACATAGATATAAAAATATATTTTCCAATTGGTATATTAAAATGCCTGCTTTAATCAGAAAAGTAAAATGGAGAAAACATTAATAAATCCTACTTAATCTTTTATATCCATGCTGAATCTAATTTATTGAGAAATAGCATTTATAGTTGCACTATCTCCCCATTAATCTTTTGATTTTGGAACTGTTGTGCAAGGTAGTATCTGAGCAATGCTAAAACACATTACATGTTTGTCATTGTATAACATAAATGTTTTAGCGTAAGAATCAGTGATGTTCATATTACAAAAGTTAACTTTTGAGTTGCCCAAAACATTATACGGTAGGACGTTCCCAGTTTAACCACTGTGACCTTTTCCAATGATAGGAAGCACCAGGCAAGAGAGTACAGGCATTCACTCAGATGCTACCTGCCCAGGGAACTTAGTATTCCTCTCCTTCGCTTAAATGGTCAGCAGCAGCTTAATTAGCTTCATCAAAAGAGTTAAAAATTCACGAACTAACACTTCCAAGTTTCGCTGTTCAGGATTCTATTGTCATTCATGGCCACCTCTGCCACCCAGGAATTTAAAAGAGCTTGAGTTTTAACCAACCCAACTTCACAGTTCCAAAACCCCAGGATTTATGGGAAAGTTTTCAAAACTAACTGTAGATTCTGGTTTGCTAAGCATCTAATAAATAAAGATTAAATAAGCATTTATTTCATTTAACATTTAACATGGAAGTAAAAATTCTCACTTTTTGCCCTAACAACATAAACTATAAAACTAAGACATCTTTCAATAAGGTCTTAACACTCACTGGACATTTCCTACTGCAAGTCATCTCAACTAATGGGACAAAGAGGATGTGGGAACCTTCCAGTAGTCCAGGCTAGGAACCGCTGGACTCCTTCACCTGGGACAAAATTAAGCAGATCTCTCTTTCCACTGAAGCCCAGCATATAGTGTCCACGGGCTCCAGGTCTAGAGCTGCTGACCGGGCACAGTTCTCTGCCACAAATAACACGCACAGAGGCAAATAGGAAATTCACCCAGGAATTGTGCTCAAACATTACAAACCTGCAACACAGGGGAGGGCAGAGAAAAGAGCTGCAAAATAAGGGGAAGGTTTTTATTTTGGTGAAAATTTCACTAGCAAATTACATAATATTCCAGGAGGTGTCGGATCAACGAATTCAAGACTCAGTTTGCCCAAATTGATGGTATTTTGTAGTTGAATCCATTTTTTCATCACAGAGTAAAACTTCGTAGTTTCAGAGCTTCCCACGGTTGGGAAAACTATATACAAATGCAGGCATACAAACATATATGCAGTATACCACCGACACACATCTATACACTCGTTCTCTCTCTTTCACATGCGCACACCACTCACACACACTTTAACAGTTAGTCCTGAGAAGTAAATCAGTACCTCTAGGAGCTGGAAAAAAGGCACTGTCAATTTGATTGGTACCAGTATCAGAATTGTCCCAATAACTAACGGGAAAATTCATGGGTTCAGCAGTGAGTAATTTGTATCTGACAAGCAGTACGTAGTTAGAAAGGATGTGCACTACAGTATACCACCAAATTACTGGGATTCAAATATATATTAAGAAGGAATTAAAGCACCTCCTATACCAGATACAAGAAGTAACATATTTGTTAATGATGCTTAATGCATTTTTTTAGTAGACTGATTAAATTAATTGTTTAAATATAGGCTAGTAAGGCTCTTGAGCTCTAGTGCATGTTTATAAGTTTATGGGATTCACAAAATGGGTATTTCTGCAGCTCTCTCCTTTCCCCAGTGTTGCAGGTCGTCATATCAAAAGAAAAATGATCAAGTTTCTGAATGGCAACATAAGAGTAAAAGCTGTACTTTTCAAGCTGTACTTTCCAAAGTGTAACCCCCCCACCCGCCCCAGTAGTTATTGTTTACCATGTAAACAATAATATGTATAAACCAAAATGGTTTTCAATATTTATTAAACATGGGTGTTCCAGACACGTAGGACTCATGAACACCAAAATCCAAGTAATGAGCTGAAGCAGTAACAGCACAATAAGTATCTCTTCAGTGTCGTCCCTATTGTTCTTTTCTTTTGGCTGCGCCCAATATAAGAAGACTCAAAAACACTGCCTTTCTAACACTGGTGATTTCGAAGAGATCAGGTAATGTGAAGTGCATGGACGTTTCCGTTGGAACTCACAATGTTGCCACCAACATCTCACGCCCTGAACATCAGAGCGAGTCTTCTCTTTTTGATCCATCTGTCTCTTGGGGAGCTTTGCTGCTTTCAAGCCTTAAGCAATCTAGAAACACTTGGAAGAGTTTATAGAATGTAAAGGACAGTAATCTCAGTTTTCTACCACCCCGTTTGTTTTAAGTGAGGTTTGTTCATCAACAGGAGAGTAATGGGATATCATTTGAATTTGCTGGCTGGTTTCATTAACTGTAAAAATACACAACTGGCATGAATTGAATACAAAAAAATATTTAAAGAGGATGATGAAATTAGCTTCATAAATAAGGGTAATTTCAAAACGTGTCAACAACAAATCAATAAAAATAGCCAACAATTTTGTAAGGGCAACGTTCTTGCTGTTTTTGGTAAGTGGCATTCTGATTTTCTTCTCCTCAAACCATCCCATTTTAAACTGAAATAGTAACTATTTTAAATGCTAACAAGATAATTTGAAGCACTTTATGCAGATGTGACAGTTTTGGACTAAATTCTTGAAGAGGAAAATGTTTTATGTTCACTTTATTTTTTTCACTTTCTCCCAAGAAAGCTAATACAGTATAATTAAGGTGTACTCTTCCCATTTATACCCCAAATTCTACCATTACTGATTCATTCCTATGGTTTAACCAATCTCTTTTCAGCCTTCCCCTACTTAAAATTCAAATCCACACAGGAGTGATAACTCATTAACACACACACATTATGGTAATAATTTGGTTAAATTGGCTCTAGGGTAATCAAAGAATAAATTGCAATAACTTCAGTGAGAAAGAACATGCATGGAGACCAGGTCAGTCCAAATAATTATTGAGTGCCTTCCAGAGTCTATACAGGGTGCTGAGTGCTGGAGATTCAAAATGAATAAGCATGGTGACTACCTTTAAGCTCCTCACTGAAAGGGTTCAAGGAGGGGAAAATGGGACTGATGCTGATAGAAAAGGTTAAAAAAAAAAAAACACAAAAAACCTGGAAAAGGCAAACTGCACTTACTTCACAATTTTTTTTAACTGGCCTGGGTCCTACCTATAGCTATACCAAAAATAATATTATCCATTCTTATAATACTGATACAGCTTCAGTTCTTACTAAAAACCAAAAAAAAAAAAAAAGGTTTTAATTTAAATAATAACTTTGAAATCTGAAACATGTTTTTTTAATCCACAAATTGAAAAGTTAAACAACTTACAGCATCTATCTTCAGTGGCTTTAATATATTTGATAAAATAGGCCCCAAATATCAAAAGGCAATTTTTAGCAATGTTGAAAGCCTTGGCAACTTACTAAGAATAAATTTTTAAGTTGTTCCCAAAATACTTATTTAAAAACACACACACAGACCAAGTAATCTATAAGAATACATACAAAATAAGATTTAAGAACAACAGTGCCCTTTCTTTTGGTAGCAACTAGGTATTGTTCTGCTGTGCTCCATTATACTTGTAAACAAATGGCCATTAAATGGAAAGTAAATTTTAGGATAGCATATGAAAGTTCTAAGATCATTAGCTCAAGGTGTATGACAGACGAACTAAGTTAAATACAATTTGAATTTATTATTAGAAATTAATTATATTTTTATGATTACTTTCTTTGTACAATGGTCTCTGAGCAAGGCACCTTTAGAAAGTTTCTTTTAAGGTAGGCCAGTTAAACAAATTTTTTCCCTAAATTCAAAATTCCCTTGAATTATAATTTATTATTTAATAAAATGAAAGGGGTCCTCTCATATTTTAGGCCGAATCTCAGTTTTCAGCATTTTCATCGATTAGATCCTTTACCAAAGGGCTGACTGCACCCATGAAGGGTTAATGTTTTGACTGTTGGCCTACACATTCCCCATGATAAACTTGAGGGTTTTCTTCTGACAGGTAGAGGCCAGTAGGTTCTACCTGTTTACAGGACAGCTGGGGAACACCACCGGCATTAGAGCTAATAAACACCATGGTGTGAGATACAGCCAACCTGGTTATGGATGAAACCAGAGCATGCCAATATTCAGAGTCATAAAAATAAAACTACAAGAAGGTGTTTGACTGTTCTCTTCTACCTCCTATATTTTACCCATTAGGAACAAGAGCTCAATCTTATACTACAATTTACCTTCTCTCAACCTCTATTCTCAAAGGTGAGGAGCCAGCTGGAAGGAAAAAAGTCCAAAGGAATGAAGGAGAAGAGAAAATGGGCCGAATGATCTACAAACAAGAAAACAAATCCCTGAACAAAGAGAGTGGACTCTAATGCTTTTCCAAAAAGTATGATGACAGTAAGGTTCTCAAAAAAGGGCAGGAAAAATCTTGTAAGATGGCGAATAGAGCCATCCTAGTCATCTTCTAGAATCCTCCTCATTAAACATGCCCGTGAGGGAGGCCACTGTGGTGCCAGGAAAATCCCAGCCCTCACCCTGCAACTGGGCCTTTTAGGTGAATTGAGACTTTCTATCCCTATGCTCTCAACTGCAAATTGTGAAATGTTATTTCTGTGGTGCTTTGACTTCCTTTAAATAAAAGGATGAACCAAACACAGATTAATATTGCATGATTCACTTTCAAATCAGTTATGAGGTCTGTATGCATACATTAAATGGTCACTGCAGAAGTGTTGAGGATTACCTTTAGGAACAAAAGATTTGGGGGTCAGCTAACTAGAAAACACCAGCTATGTTTTTCTGAATGCTTTTGATAAATTCAGTGAAAATCAGAAACATTTTACTTTCAAAATTTAAGGACATACAATACGTAAATTTTAAAATTCAGCTGACATGTCCTTGTGTTTAACAAATAAAAACAAAAACAAAGTCTTTTAGAAGTGGGAGAAAACATATCTTCCTTCTGAAGATTAAACAGAGTAGTGCATATTACCCATTGTCTTTTCTTATTTAGGACCAGTTAGCAATTTTCTTTTTGTCTGGACAATTACTATGTGGCTAAATGAGATTACCCTATAGTCTATCTCAGTACTTACTCATCAGGTTCATCTAAAAAACCAAAACAGTAAACCCTCCCATACTATGGACCTGCTGTCCATATAAAGAGCAAATTTAAAAATTTTTTAATCTTTTTAAAATTTAAATTCAATATCTGAACCATTTTAGAGCTTCAATTTTTAAAAAATTGTTCAAGATATTTCATTTTAAAATGAGGTACTAACACTACATTGATTCCAAACAGCATTTAAAGTTATTTCTTATATAAAACCACTTTCAATATAAGCATCCTCACAAATAAACTTACATTCCCACCCCTAAAGGGCTTAAATTGTTTCCTTTCATTAGACATGCCCCAAGACCCTAAGGAATGTGATTGTTTTACTTACCATCAGCAGACAGGTGGGCATGCCTTGCAAAGGCTTTATCTAGTTCTAGAAAAGCCAAGGTCAACACAGTTTCCAAGTTCTTCTCCTTAGGAAGCAAATCCCTTTGTGGAGAGGAAAAAAGAGTCCCAAACAATCATTTTATAATAGGTTTCTCTTCTTCACCTAGGTCCCTCTGGCTAGCTGTTACTCCATACAATGGACCGCCATGGTTTGCCTTCAGATGCTTAAAATCCACAGATTAACAACTCAAATTAGGAAATAACTAGACACGGAGATAAGCCTTTAAGAACAATAAAATAAAAGTCCAAGTCTCCGTCCTTAAAGATTAATAGTCTATCCACAACCCTGAGAGGTCAAAATTCCTTCAAATAAATGTACGCCACTGAGTTCAAAACATGAATAAATCCACTGATGAACAGCATGAATAACTACAGGAAGACAAGAAATAGTCATATGTTCTCCCCCTCTTTTAATTCAAGTCATATGATCCCCAAAATACATTAGTAATTACTGCAGTAAATAAACTTTTTAAAGAGCTCCAAAACACCCTCACTAAATGCATTCTCCCCATCCTACTGTCAATCATCTAAAGCCATTCATACCCCTTGAAAGAATTACCATTTATTGAAGTACTATATGCCCTGCACTGGTAGGAGTAAATGCTTTTCCTAATACGTGAGATCCTGTACTATATAGCTTGATACGATCACAAATCAAAGTGCTGTTGATCCTGGTCAATGCTTTCACCAGGTGAGTTGTCAAAATATACACTGCGGAATGGTGGTAACCACCAGTAATAAAGGGCATGCTTAAGCCACTGCTTGTTCCTAAAACAGTATGGAACCACTCAAATTTAAGTAGGTTAACAGGGAACATCATCTCGGCCAAAAGGTTAAAGTTTAAACATGAAGTATAAGGTAAACTGCAAAGTCAAGAGCGAAAAGTCATTGTACATACATGATGCATTTCTCCATGTGAGTGTGGCAGAAATCAGCAGCTGCAGGTCCGCCGTGCCCGTCGTACACGGCAAAGTACAGGACCTCGTCTGTTAGCTGAGCGCTGTCAAATCGGTCTTCATTCTCTTTCCGTTTGCCAATATGCGAGGCGCAGCCTACGTTTTCCAGGCTGATTTTGGGGATTGGCTTGCCGTACTTAATGCTGGGCGGCAGCAGAATGGGCTCATCGATGCGGTTATCCCAGATCCCAAAATTATCCCAAGTGGCCGGACGCCCACTACCATCCGGGTCAAACCGAGAACACCTAGGCTCTGAAGTGGAGCTGTGGCAGGTAGGCGTCAGCCGTTTGTCGTCCTGCAGTAGGCGGGAGCTTAGCAGCACTCTCCTTCTCACGTGGTTCCCACCACTTCTAACCAAAGTAATTAAGGCAGCTGTGGACATAATCAACTCCAAAGGACTCAGGAATGAGGGAAAGGTCAATAGAACAATAATGGAATGTCTTCAAGAAAAATGATGTGACTGGGGAGAGAGAGAGAGATTCCATCAGTATTTCCACATATAACTGATGTATCATTAGATATTACCAAAATGTAAGGCCATAAAGAATGTGGCATCCAACAGCCTACTTCTAAGAATAGTGGATCAAAACCAAAATTGATTTACTTACCCCTTTCACAGTGTTTAAATTCTATTAAAATGTGACAATGTGTATATATCATATAGAACAAGTGTTTTTCAAACTTTAACCTACAGTCACCCGGGGAACTTGTTAAAAGGCAGATTCATTCTGATTCAGTCTGCCTGGGGTGGAGCCTGAGATTCTGCATTTCGAGCCAGCTCCCTGGTGACAGCAAACTGCTGATCCAGCAGGCCCATACTTTGCATAGCAAGAATATAAAATATGGGTGTAAATAAATATTCTTCCCTTCATTAACTCCCTTGCTCTAAAGAAAGGGTAGGGGCAAATGTTGACAGTATCAAAGTCTCTTAAGGGAGAAAGAAATAAGAAAAGTAATTGGTTAATAGGACGGTTCTGTACTCAGAGTGCCCAAGTTTTAGCAAAGACACAATCTACGATCTAAATTCTGTTTTCTTTTAAGATTTGTCAACTTACTGAACTTCACATATTTCATTACTATGGTTAATGTAGAATGGTTTGGGCAAACACTCCCACAGGCACAAGGATGAGCCAGTTCCAATGTGTGTGATCACTGGATTAGGGGGTACCACCTTTGTGACTTATGAGCAACTGATCTATGCATTTACATTAACAGCTGCTGGTCTCCGATCTACCCAGCCCAGCAGCCCAGCCCTTGCGTGCCCTGCAGACTAGGAGCTAGCGTCCGAGCCCAGACCACATTTCTTTGAAACTATTACTCTGCCCCCCCATTTCTGGACTCTGCCCCAAAGCTGAATCCTCCCCTGGGTATTGTCAAGGGGAATTCTTACACCCCTGCAGGAAGGGCTGTGTTTCTGGCAGTTTTCCATATAAATAAGGTTCTAAGCAAAAATTCAACTCCACGGTACTTTGTTCTGTTACTTTATGTATTAAAAACCAACTGGAAAAGATAGCATAATGTCAAGATTTGATAATGCTGGTGGAGGGTATACAGGTATTATATTACTCTCAATTGCATGTTTGAATTATTTCACAATACAAAGTGGACTTGAAAAAATACCTCAGCAAAAGCCACATACACACAAAGCGCAACTTGAGTGAACCCATAAGTAAATGCACTGCAGATTTCAAATAATCATTTTCAAATAAATTTTTAGAAATCAGTCTAGTTCTGTGTAAGAGTAGTAAATAAAACAGTAGAAAGAAAAGATGAAATTCCAAAGAACTCCCTTAGGTATCTATGCAATGAAAAACATATGCGCCCTGCCTTCATAGAATTTAGTATAAAGAAGGCCTTCCAAAGAATTAATGTATCATGAAAGACTTAGGAGGCCATTCTTTCTGGGCCTTTTAGCTAATATCATGTACAAAAGATTGAAACTCACTTCTATGACAATATTAGGGGTGGAGGAGACATAGTATCTCTGGTTATCAAGTATGAAAGAGAAGCAACACATTAAATTACCAAAAAAAGGTGTTTATTCCTTTGCTGCTGTTTGAAGGTGATATTTTCATTCAGCGACAATAACTATGTTAAATAAAGGTAAGGACTTGTGAAGAAATTTCAAACTATAATACAATCTACACTAGGGAACTAAGTACTGATTACTGATGGAGATAATTTACAGAGCAACTTTAGACCATAAAGAAAAAAATAAAACTTTCAAGATACATTTATTAGAAACCATTACTATTTGAAGAGTGCACCAGAAGTTAGTGAAGTTGATTCTTTCTTCTTTTAAACCTAGCTATCGCTAACAATACAACATTTTTTTAGTTTCAGGTGCACAATATAATGAGTCTGTTTTTGTATAAGCAAAGTACTATTCTTTTGGCTTCAATCTGAAATCATGAAGGCTATATTCAGCCTTGGGCCATTTTGCAGTCGTTCACCTACTTTAAACAAGAGTTCTAGAATTAGAAGCAAATAAATATTGAGTACATTTTTTGCAGCTCTTTTAGGGCACTCTTCTCTTTCTTCTCTCTCTCTCTCTCTCCTCCAAAAAAAACCCAACCAAATAAACAAACAAACAAAAAAACCCAGAGCTGCATTTTATTATTATTTTTTTAATTAACATATAATATATTATTTGTTTCAGGGGTACAGGTCTGTGATTCGTCAGTCTTACACAATTCACAGCGTCAGAGCTGCATTTTTAGCAGGAAACAAATATCCATTGGAAACATTATTTAAGAATGAAATAAAATGGGGCATCTGGATGGCTCAGTCAGGTGAGCACTGGACTCTCGGTTTCAGCTCCTGTCCTGCTCTCATGGGTTGTGGGCTCCAGCCCCACTGTTGGGCTCTGTGCTCAGCACAGCATCTACTGGAGATTCTTTCCCCCTGCCCCTTCCTCCTCACACTCCAGCTCTCTCTCTCTCTCCCTGAAATAAATAAATAAATCTTACAAAAAAAAAAAAAAAGAAAGAAAAGAATGAAATAAAATGCAAGTTGGACAGTTTCTTTAAAAGCCTTGCTGGACTAAAATCAATCACCAACCTGGCCTCCTTCCTCATTTATTATCTGCACAATCACCTCAGGAAGTAAGCAGAGTAGTCATAGGAAAACATTTACTTTGGGGAATACTTTTGGCCTAGATGAAATGTGAGCCAGATATATAGCTAGTTTACAAAACTAGATCAGCACAACTTACGCAAGCAGGTGACTTCGTATATTTCCAATGCAATATAACTAAATCATATTAATCTCCACATTCTCTGGGGAAACAATTCAAAGAGGACCTGTGTTCCCAAGCTCAATAACTACTTTGAATTAAACCTGCACATCAAGAAAAGTTTCCTCCAGAGATTGAAATTAGGAATCTAGTCATCACCTGCCCCCAGTTCTCTGAAACACCCATAGAAATGACTACACACTGACTAGCAGACAAGAGAGTATAATTTATGATGTGGGGAAAAAAAACCCAAAGCCTGTGGAAAAAAAACAACAACACATCAGTGTTCTTCGTAACAAAAAGAGTGGAGAACAAATTGACAAACACCTAGGAGATATTTTTATTATTTGTCAGTTCAGCAATTATAAATTGGCATGTGTTTATCATTCTGCAAAAAAAAAAAAAGTTATTCAGGAATCCTTTATGTCACTATCTCAGTCAGACATCAAGGCTAGCTTTTTTTTTTTTTAAGATTTTATTTATTTATTTGACAGAGAGAGACACAGCAAGAGAGAGAACACAAGCAGGGGGAGTGGGAGAGGGAGAAGCAGGCTTCCCGCGGAGCAGGGAGCCCGATGCGGGGCTCGATCCCGGGACCCTGGGATCATGACCTGAGCCAAAGGCAGACACTTAAAGACTGAGCCGCCCAGGCACCCTAAGGCTAGCTTATTTTTATAAACCATTTTAACATTTATATTCAAGCTTTGAAAGTAAAAGTCATCCAAAAGAGTCAAAGGGCAGAAGTAATTCTGCTTGAAAGCCGTTTGAAGACACAAAAATGTCAGAGCAAGAGTTAAATCAACTAAGAGCACAAGAACAGACTACCCACACATCATATTCAACTAGCAAAAATAAAATGCAAAAACTATGCTAAGCAAGAAAATAAAGATAAAGAACTTGGCTAAAATCCTAGTGACAGGTTATTTATATCAGCAACCTAAACTATATTGATAGTCATATACCAAAAGGAAAAAGAAAATGGAAAATCTTCCTTCTAGACCAAACTTTTCCAAATCCCTTTTTATTTCCCAATCATAATAAAAATGCAGGACCCACAAATTTACTTTAATCACATGAATTTTTAAAAATGTGTGAGTATGCACACATATATATACACACACAGAAACCCTATATATTCTACATATGTCAATAAATAAATGCCTGAAAATATCTTTCTTTTTCATCATTTTCACATTGATTTGTGACCAGGCCTTCTCCATCTTCTTCCTTAATGTTTTAACAGTTTAATATGATACTTGAAAGTCCTGACACAGAACTCTTGACCAGCGAAAAGTGTTGGCACCTGGTTTAACAATTCTGACTAGCAGGAGGGATTCTCAGCAAAGAGAGTTAAATTGGAAGTAAGCTCGGAGACCACAAGAGTAAGCACAGATTCTGCGTGAGGGCACTGCTGAAAACCCACATCCTGAGAGTAAGAAATCTCAGGTGAAATGCATCAGGAAGGGAAAAAAATGCATTTGGTTTGTAGTGAACTTTTGAAGTACATACTTGATTTAAAAATAAAAGGTGGTGAAGAAAAGCCACAATTTACAGCTACAAGATTGCTATGCCAATTTTGCATCTTCATATCACTCCCATTTTATAATCCCTCAATGGTTTAAATATCTCAGAGCTGTCCAAATTTATTTTTGGATAAGAGAGTCACTCACTGTCTCTGTCAGGAGGATACACTTGGGATTTGAGTTGAACTGTTGACTGCTGAAAGGTCAAAAGGGCAATTTATTGTTGTAATTTTAAGTGCATGCCAAAATCATTCAGGCGTTCTACGGTTCAGTGCTACAGAAACTTCTTAGATTGATCTCTCCAGCAAAAATATTTAAGAAAATATTCATATTTGCCCATTATAAAGCAGCACTCAGGTATCTTCACATCAGTAACTTCCGCAAAGAAAACAACAGATAATTTTAATATTCTCAAAGCCAATATTTCTTTATCAACTTTTTTAAAGACAACCAATGCATCCTAATAAATTCAAATGGTATGGAAACCTCCCAAAAGTATTTCAGGAAATGTGGACTCCAATATCTTATCAGTACTCTGCTGGGAGGAAGGGAAACAAATTTTAATAGTCTACATGAGGGAAAGAACAACAATAAAAACCCCAAATGATTCCCCTTGGGTTTGATGTGAACATGTTTAGATGTGTGAATAGAGGAATGAAAGTCCTGAAAAGTATTCATTGTTCTATTTCCATAGATATCTTTTAAAACATCTTCATTAATGTGGATACAACTCACAGACCACATTCCAAACCTGCACCTTTATACTTCCTTAAGGATTTTCCTTGACATTCTATACTACATCAACAGCACATCTCCCCTCTTCTTTCCTCTTCTCTAAGATTCTAGTCAAGGGAGGTGCCTGTGTCGGTCATCAATAGAAAGTGACTCTGGTAGCAAGAAAAAAATCATTAGCAAGAACTCACTACTCAAAAATATAACTATTTTATTACCCAGTGGTGCACCTGTTCTCTTCCTCTAATACCACGACATCACTACTCTTCTTCAAGACCATTATAATCCGTCACTTGTCACTCATTCTGAAACCGGCGACAATCTCATTCTTGAGGATGGTGGAGGATGGGTGGGCTTAAGGGCTCAGAAGGGCTTAAGAGGCTCAGAAAGCTCAGAAAGGCCAGTGGAGCTCTAGGGACTCCAAATTCCCCGGCTATTTCCACCCGGACTCTCGTCTTTGTCGCCTCCTGTGAAATCTCTCATCTACACGAAGCGGTTGCTAAAAAAAAACCCATCACCAGCCACAAGGCCTCTCTTGGCAAAGCAAAACCCACACCCTCGGATGGACACCAACCAGGGCTCTGCATCCTGCTCTATTCCGGTCCCCTGAAACGCTCGCCCTCGGACAGTTCAGGATCCCGGGCTCGCTCGCTGGCTGTGACAGATGAGTAGCCAGTGTGATACACTGCAGGAAGCACACCCTCCCGCCCGCGCAGCGCTGCAGATGGCTGGGCTCCCTCCAGCACCTTCCGCCGCCCCGTCTCCGCCTCCCAACCACCCTCTCCCCGCATAGATCTCGGGTGTCGCCACATCTCCCTCACCCCGGTTGCATCTGCAGCGGCGACGCGACGCTGACCCCTGCAGCATCCTCCAGTCCGGGGTGCGAGCAGGACGACCCGGATCCTCCCTACGGAGAAACACGAACGAGCGGCCCCCGCCCCTTCCACCATCCAGTCCATGGTCCCTCCTGACTTTCAACCCCGGCCCACTCCACTCGCAATGGTGACGCCCCCGCCTGCAGTCAAGTTCAAGGCCGAGTGCGGGGGTCTCGGCGGGAAACGCCCACTGCCTGCAGGGTAGCCGGGGTGGGCCCCGACAGGACATGCTACTCATGACCTCCAAAGAGAAGAAAGCGGCGCACAGAGAACCCAGACGCTGACTGTGGGGCTGGGGGATTTAAACCTACATTTCCCCTTCCCTCCCTAACTCTCCGTTTAATCTCCATTCCGCAGACCCTGAGTGCGGGCATGCGACCCCGCCTATAAATAATATCATAAACTGTTAGAAATAAATGAAGTGCACTCTCTAGGCTCTTACCTCGCGATGGTTACGTCCCTGGAAATTTTCTAGTTAATTAACGGAGGGCGGGGAAGGGACTTTCCTGCTGGGTAAATAAGATTGCCTTCCCCGATATTTCTGGTTTCTGGAGCGAGAAGCTAGCACAGCCACTGGCTCTTCTGCTGGAAAATCTCGAGAATTTTTCGCCCGCAGTGAGCCAGATGGAGAGGGAAGTCTGTTCCGGCTGACTGACGGCAGCTCTGGCCAATCCGCGCTCGGAGAGGCGGGCGCCGGCCGCCCAGGCCCCCGGCCGCAGCCAATCATAGAGCCCAACAGGAACGAGCCTCCCCGCAACTGCAATTTGGTTTGGCTGACTTTTAGCAGCTCGCGGTAGAGGGACGTCGACCCGAGCCAGTAGCGGCTCGAGGTGACATCCCGCCCCCCCCGAAGGCCTTGGCGCTAGGGCCAATGAAGGGGCGCCTGGGAGGTGGGTGGGATCGGGAGACTGGGTAAATCGCCAGCCTGTCGAGGAGGGGTGTGTGTCCGTTGTGGCTGGGGGGGGCAGTCGTTGTGACAACTAGGAAACCGAGAACGAATGCCAACACTTTGCCTGGGCAGAAGGGCTTGACAGGCATCTGGTTGCACTGCTATTCTTTGGAAAACTCACAGTGCAATGTTCTTCGTGACTGAACAGGCATCTTGTGGTCCCTTGGGAATGTCGATTCATTTGTTCGACAAGTATTTCTATGTTTATGGAGGAACTTTCGTATGCCAGACACTGTGCTAGGCATTGGCACCGCAATCCTGACACAAATACACGTGATTTCTGCCTTCACGGAACTTAGTCTTATGAGGAAAAGGGAGCAAACAAGTGAACAAATGAAACAAGAATCACGTCAAGGACGGAAATAGACAAAGTGTGGATATAGTGAATAATAGGGGGTTGAGATTAGATAGGGACGGTTGTTATAAGAGAACTTTATAAGATGCCATTTAATCGGAGACTTGAAGAGTGAGAAGGAAATCAGTCAGTCAGCCAAGGAACCTGAAAAGCGATGATTGTTCTGGGCAGAGAGTGGACGAAGGTCCTGAGGTGCAACAAATTGACATTTTGGAAGAACAGAAAGAAGACCAGTATGACTCTAGCACAGAAAGCGGGGGAGAGCAGCATGACATGAGATGCGCGAGGTAGACTGAGGCCAAACCATATACACAAGTCTTGGAGTTTGCTTTACGTTTTAAATGTAATGGGACTCTATTGAGGCATTTTAAGCAAGAAATAAAAGGATCTAGTTTAGACTTTACATCACTTTGGTTAATGGTAGAGAACCAGTAGAATAGACTATTGGGAAACTGGTGAGGAGACCATCTCAGATTAAAATCAGGGTGGGAGATGACCTGGCTTAAGCTATGGTGATATCCCTGAAGGAAGGGAAAAGCAGAGAGACTGGAGATTTTAAAGGGAAATTATTAGCCTGTTTTGACATATCAGGTATCCTGCTCCTGGGACAGCTGTTCTGAATCCAGTTCATTAACTACTCGATTTAGAGACTGATTCTCACATTGATGACCCACAAATTCTGGTAATGACATGGAGGATTATTATGCTGGGTTGAGATTCAATTTTCATGGGCTTCCTAGAATTTTCTTTCGTTAACTTTTTATTGAAGCATAATATATATGCAGAAAAGTACACACATTCTAAGCTGCATATATACCTCAATGACTTTTCACATTCCGAACACAACTTTGTATCCAACACAGATCAAGAAACAGAACATTATTAACACCCAGGAACATCATGCCTTCCAGTCATTGCCTATCCTGACTGTCAACAATGCAGACTTAGTTTTGTCTGTCTTTGTACTTGACATATATAAAATCATAAAGTATGCATTCTTTTGTGTTTGGCTTCTTTACTCAACTTTATACTTATGAGATTCTTCCATATTGTTGCATGTAGTTGTAGATCATTCATTTTATTCCATTCTGTGACTATACCACAATTTATGAATTCATTCTTTTGAAAGACATTAGAGTAGTTTCCAGTTTGGAGCTATGACCCATAGTGCTACTATGTACATTCTAGTACATGTCTTGGCCTTTTATGTTGATGGAGCATTTTGGTGGCTGGGGTTTAAATACAATTAAGTTACTTTGTTTAAAAAAAATATTTTATTCATTTATTTGACAGAGAGAGTACAAGCAGGGGGAGCGGCAGACAGAGGGAGAGGGAGAAGCAGGCTCCCCACTGAGCAGGGAGCCCTATGCAGGGCTTGATCCCAGGACCCTGGGATCATGACCTGAGCCAAAGGCAGACGCTTAACCAATTGAGCCACCCAGGTGTCCCAACAATTAAGTTACTTTTGACCGTTCATCAGTAATGTAGTACCATGTTTTGCAATATCTCAAACATTTGGACCAGATAATGAAGGACTTTGCACTCACGAATGTGAGCACTTTTGGCAACAACAAGAGCTGTTGATGTGAGAAATTTTAAGTTTGGAAACCTAAAACATTTTGAATTATGCTTGGCATTTTGACCTTCTTTTTAAGTTCTTGAAAACTGCATGCCCAGCATTTGAGAACATCATGACCATGCTATATCCTCTTATTCTAATAAACTATAATCCATAGTCATATGATAAACAAGAGCAGTTAGGTGGCCCTGAAGAATATGTATATGTTTGATGTTATTGCAGTCCTTGGAATTACATTTGAAAACCATACCACTGAGGCATCTTGTGTGACTCAGTTAAGCATCTGCCTTTGGCTCAGGCCATGATCCCAGGCTCCTAGGACTGAGCTCCCCATAGGACTCCTTGCTCAGGGGGAAGCCTGTTTCTCCCTCTGCCTCTGCCCCTCCCCCTGTTCATGCTCTTTCTCGTGCTCTCTCTCTTAAATAAATAAATAAATAAGTAAATAAATAAATAAATAAAAAGAAAACCATACCACTCCATATCTTACCACAGTTGATAACAAACAACACCAGTAGCTTACTTCTTTTGAATTATATACTTAGGCTCTTTGAATCTCTGAAGCTAAATGTAGTACAAATGTACATGTACTCAGCATGAGGGATCATTCCATAATGTCCAAAAGGATCAAGTGAACACAACACTCCATGCCTTCATTAAGTTGAGCTCTTTTGTATTTCACTTTATATTTTAAAGAATTCAATGGTTTGATAGTAGTGACTATCAGGAAATTATACCCAAGACAGGTTATGAGACTGTGGGCAAATGGGTGGCATGGGGGCTTATTAAATATAGTGAGGACATGTAAGTCTTGAGTAAGCCATTTGAGATTTGTGCTAATGAACCACCAACACAGGACTTTTAAAAGGTAAGCAGAGGCATATTAAACATTTTAAGAGTTTATTTGAGCAAAAATCAATTGAATTGGACAGCCCCAAACCAGAAATGGTTTGGAGTGCTCCACGGATAGGAGCTAGAGGCAAGACTTTATAGATAAGAGAGGAAAGCAAAGCAAGGAAATTATCTAACTCTAACTTAAGCAGCTACTTTATTTGGGAAAGTCTGATTCGCTGTTTGTGATTGGTTGTTCTTAGGTTTTTATTTCTTAACCTTCAGGCAATATAGACTTAGGTTTTGATTTGCTAGAGTTACTAAGGCATTAATGCCACCTCACCCCCCCCCCCCACACACACACAAACCCACAACTTTTTTTTCTTGTTAATTTGTGTCAGCAATTTTCCAGGTGAGTATCTGTATGCTACTTTTGGCCTCATGCCTAAACAGGGGCTTGGAATACTAGGATATATTTTTCCATAGTTCAGCCTATTCTCTCCAGAATTGCTGGCCCAGATGTCTTTTCTCTGTGTCACCAGAATAATTTCCAAAACACTGACACAAATAATTTTTTTAAAGATTTATTCATTTGTTATTAAAGAGAGAGAGGAGGGGCAGAGGGAAAGGAAGAGAGAAAATCATAAGCTGACTCCATGCTGAGCACAGAGCTTGAGTTTTTCTTGGGGCAGTGAAAGAGAAATTTTTGTTCCTTTTTCAATAACTTTTGTGAAGTTCCTGCTGTATGTCAAATACTATATATGTTAGGCTCTGGGTTTATAGCAATGAATGAACAATATAAACATGATCTCTGCTCTTATAAAAATTGCGAGGTGGGAGAGTAAACAGTACGCATGTATCTAAGTATAATGAATGCTATAATTAGAAAAGTATGGGGCATCTGGGTGGCTCAGTCAGTTAAGCATCCAACTCTTGATTTCAGCTCAGGTGTTGATCTCAGGGTCGTGAGTTCAAGCCCCACATTAGGCTGGGCATGAAGCCTACTTAAAAAAAAAAAAAGTATGGCGTTCCCTAAATATTATCCTAGGAGTCCTGTGGCTCATCTTCTCCTTTCTGTCTCTGTCTCCCTTTTAAGTTAGGGATATTCAGTTGCTGAATATTATACAAGGCTACCTAGAAAGAAAGAAAGAAAGAAAGAAAGAAAGAAAGAAAGAAAGAAAGAAAGAAAGAAAGAAAGAAAGAAAGAAAGAAAGAAAGAAAGAAAGAAAATAAATTTCTAGCTCTTGAGAGGGATCTTGTAATCAAATAAAATGTACCTTGCATGGGTCCTGAGCCTAGACTCCAGCATTGCTTTTGATCAGTGTGTGGCCTCAGATAAGTAGCTAACTTCACTGTGCCCCTGTTTCATCAGATATAAAATAGCACCTGTCCTGGCCAATTTACATAATTGCTGTAAGAATTAAATTAGGTAGAGAAAGTAAGTGTCCCTTAAAAATAAACAATGTTAGGGCGCCTGGGTGGCTCAGTTGGTTAAGCGACTGCCTTCGGCTCAGGTCATGATCCTGGAGTCCCTGGATTGAGTCCCGCATCGGGCTCCCTGCTCGGCGGGGAGCCTGCTTCTCCCTCTGACCCTCTCCCCTCTCATGTGCTCTCTGTCTCTCTCATTCTCTCTGTCTCAAATAAATAAATAAATTTAAAAAAAATAAATAAATAAATAAACAATGTTATTACTCTGAAGACTTTACAGTGCACTGGAGGAGCCTATAAACAGCCAGTCTAAAAAACAATAATGAAAACACTTGGTCCACCTATAAAGCAACATATAACAAATTAATATGGCACCCTTCTAGCTGTGGGAAACGGTACAGGTTAATGCAGTGAAAATTATACCTTTAAGAATCTAAAACTCAGTGTTTATTGCTGAGTAATATCTGCTAATGTACTATTAGGATATGGCTGAAACAGGCCAGAACTTCCCTTGTAATCTTCGTAAAGAACATTCAATACATTTCTTGTCAGTGGAATGAAGCGAACGTACAAAAAACTAGATTTA